ACTGAGCAAGTCTCGACATCAAGACACATAGTCGGTATAGAAAGACAGGAACTGAGCACGTCTCGACATCAGGACACATAGTCGGTATAGAAAGACAGGAACAGAGCACGTCTCGAAATCAAGACACATCGTCGGTATAGAAAGACAGGAACAGGTCATGTCTCGACATCAGGACACATAGTCGGTATAGAAAGACAGGAACAGAGCACGTCTCGAAATCAAGACACATAGTCGGTATAGAAAGACAGGAACTGAGCACGTCTCGACATTAGTATACATAGTCGGTATAAAAAGACAGGAACAGAAACAGAAAAAAAAAATCATAAATAAAATGATAACTAAAAAGCCCTACTGATATACAAATGTAATACTCTTTGTAAGTTGAATGATTTCACAAACAGAAAAGTTTTATGTTTTTTTGTATATTTACCTGAATATCCATCATGTCATCGTCTAATCCTTGGTCTGTCAGTGAAATCTGCCAGTCAGCTGTGTTCACTTCGAACCGTCTTGCCTTTAATACGGAAACCTTGATAAAACGCTAGTTTTAATGACAATGTATTTAGGTTTTAACTTAGGAAGTCGTAAATCTTCAGCACTCGATTTTTATTGTGTCCAGCTGACACGTGTAAGGCAACAGACGCAGTGGTATTGACACATAGAAATACGCCAACAAATTGAAAAATACAGCAATAAAAATTCCAAATTACCTTCATATTAGGTGTGACACAATGACATGTATTACACTTAAACATATTTGTGTGATTCCATTTTAAATCCACCCCCACGTGTTAAAGCGACATTTATCGTTTTACTATATTTTGTAGACTTATTTCAGTTCCGACATCAGTATCTGTTTTGTTTTCAAGTCAAACATATCTGTGGTTTTCATATTGAGAATTATTAGTGAAGATCAAATCACGGGCGTAGAGCAGATATTACAATAATAATGATAATAATAAAAGTGGTATTTTATAAAGTTGATAAATTAAATTATTCCATGCTCCGTCTTTATAAAGGTGTTAGGTTAAGACCGCAAATTAACAATTTTGTATCAATGAACAGTTCAGAAATTTTACAAAATGCTGGCACCCAGAAATGGCTGAAGGGATATGTTTGCTGCCTCTCCAGTAGATATTTGGCATGTATAGAAATGAAATATATCTATGCGTTTTGATTAGATATACATGTAGTTATCATAATGTTTCAATCATTTCAGTTGCAAAGAGTTCAAACCAAGAAAATACATTTATACAGATAACACATTCAACCATTGAATCACATTATGATAAATATTTAAATGTATATCTATATCTATACATAACATAGGCTGGTTGTGATATACTTATGTATCAAATATTCATATGCTTAACTATGTCATAAGATTTCACTTTTGAATGTGATCAAAAAATCACATTCAGCCACTCATTTGTACTAAAAACCTTAAATTAGTTACCACGTTATTATATGGCTCACTTTGACCCTAATTTAAAATATGCATATAGTTCAACTGTTTACTGCATATAATACATGTAAGAGACCAATAGTATATAGTACTCGGGATTGTGTTGACACGATGATGTGATGTTGTTTACCAAACCCTTGTGATTATTTTAGTCTTATAAGCATAAAACTTCTATCAAATCCACCATAACAGTTATAAATAGCCATTGAGTGGTATTTCGTTCAGGTCTACGTGTTACATGTATGTAACATTTGGTAAAATGGCCGTTTTATCTACTGTGTATTACCAGTTGAAGCTGTTAGTGTGGCTGCCTTGTCTGAAACCACTGTTGTCTTCCTACATTGTACCATTACATATGATTTTAACCCCTTCACACCTAAAGTCACATTTGAACCTTACCAAAACAAAAACCGGTCAAGTCCAGTTTAAATATGCAGGGTAAATGAGTTAAAAAGAAAAGTCAGGTCAGCGATTGAAACACAATGGCCAATACGACTGGACATGAACGATATTCCTTATCATGCGTGATCCTTCCACCGAAAATATTTTATTCTATTTTAAATACAGCAAAACTTGCCTTTGCTGCTAATTGTGTGAAGAGAATATTAACTTATAAAGACCACCTTTCTTGCAAAATTTAACCTCTATATACTGGATATAGCAAATATTGGCTCCTAAAGACTACTTATGTTTAAACTTTATTTATTTTACAACTATTGAAATACAACTTACTACAGCTTATGTCTAAAGCTGTCTTTATACATTTTACATTCTTTGCATATTTACCTCTTAAGAACAGGCGGCGGTGTCAATGATTCAGTTTCATTTGTTTCTATATGTTCATCTTGGGTCCTTTCTTGTCCGACTTGGTTTCAAATGAATGCTGTTGATTTCCTCGTGTGTTTCTCTTTCTGGTGCGTGATGTATTTGGGTTTCAAATACAGTAATTGTACAAAATATAATTTGTTTCAAAAATAGTGTAATTTAAAAATGTGGATATTATATCAGACTGCTCCAAATTAAATTTAACACACAAAACTTCACCATGGCATTTGACATACATGTAATAACCAAAACATACATCAACGTTTATATTACTTGTATTCCTTTGTTTTAACGCAATCTTGATCAATGTATTGAATATGAATTGTCTTCCTTGATAAATAAATATGTTACTTTTACAAAATAATTAATTTATCAGATCTCATCAGACACCTTACAACTATATGAGCTAATAATGCAAAAAATACAATTTTAAATACCTTTACTATTGTCCCAACAAATATACTATAAGTCACATAACTGCACAGATCCAGACTGGAAATCTTCAACTAAATTATCTACTTCATACGGTTTCATCAATAATCCACTCATGTTTAATGGTCCTGCCTACAAATTGTATAGGTGTCTGTCTTGTTCTCCTAAAATATAAATAGGAACATACAATAACACATACAGATTTATTTAGGTTAAAGCATATGAAGTGTTTTTAATGTGTTTTTGACTTTTACAACACATTCATTGCTTTACAGAGGAATAAAACACCACGAACTGTTTAGACTAAATGGTTAGGTATTAACACCTATGCTTAGCTACCTGTTATGAACTGGTACAAGCCTTCGTGGTTCAGCGTCACCACTGTCAGAACCAGAGCTCTCCAGACGACCCTTCTTGTACTGTCTTCCTTTTCCTGCAGTTGACTTTCTTTTCCGAGTTCCTTTTGTACGAAGTTGATTTTTTTATGCCACATACTGTAAATATACTAACATAGGGTATATGAAGTGTCATTCACAGTGTTTTAACAATAATGAACATTAAACTTCAGTTCAGTCCAAAGTATTAAATTATTTCATGTAATTACCTTTTTTATAGTTCAATTTTCAAAAACTGTACTGTTGGTAATACAGAATGATGATTATATATATATGATTATATTTAATTATACCGGTACTCATGGTGAGCCTTCAAAGGGCAAAACAATAGTTGTTGGCAATAGTCAGTTTAGCTTAGTGTAGGTCATATCTTGTTCATGACTTGCAAGATTTATTTGTACAGTAAATTTTGAAACCACCAACCAACGGTAAGGATATGCTGACTTGAACAATAACAGATGTTCTAGCAAAAGCATAAACTTCAATCCCTTTAAATTAAACCCTATACATGTACAGTTCATGTACATGCATCAGTCAACAATGTAGATGCCAAAACATTAAAACATAATACAGCTACTAGTCATACATACACATCATAAAAAAAATTTGACATGAATATTTACTTACCAAATTGCTTAATAAACATGTACAATACTGAACTTAACCTTATATCACTTTATATTCATACTGCACATGTTGTATATGCATTGTTGATATTGCACGGAATGTAAAAATACATGTCATAACATACCCATATTCCAGGTTTTCGTATGCTTGGACTTTTGCCTTCTCTTGGACAAGCAAGTTCTGGAAGTAGTACGTTGTTGTAAAAAGACATCAGTTTTGGGAGCATAATGTTCTGCCAAACATTGTCATTCTTATATATCCTTTGTATAAACAGTTGGTGAGCATTTAAGGTGCGAACCACAAAATCAATCCATTCTTTGTTGCATATGTTTAGAAGGCCATGACACTGATAAGATCCAAAATGATTTGTTTTCAGTTTGACTTTTCCCTCAGAGTTTTCTAAACAGATTTTTTTTATTTTTTTTGAAGCCTGCCAAATATTCAATTGTTTCGAATGAAGCAAGTATTTGATCTCCAACAGTCCAGTTTCTCCAGTGGAAGTAAAAACTACGCCATCTAAACTTGCTGCCAAATATTTGTGAATAGGATGTATTACTAATCTACTGCGCTCAACATGTATGCTTTCCCCTTCGTCAGACTTCTTCAATTCATCTTCCTCTATTGTGGTATCTTCCTGACGAATGCCATTTCTTGTATACCGATTTCCATGGAATGAACTCTAGAGCAGGTTTCGCACAAATTTCTGAATAGGTAATGATGGGTTTCTTTTAACCATCGATCCAAAATTTGAAGCTGTGACTCTTTTCTTTCTTTCTGAATGCCAAATACCAGACTGGGATTGTTGAATTGTTGATTTAGTAATTTTGTCGCATTACACAGGTTGTGCACTTTTCCGCCATCAAACTTGGTTCTGATGTGTATCCAACTTTCAGCTAAGTTGGTGGTGCTGTTGTTGATGAGACGATCAGCTTTCTCTTCAGTTCTAACCAAGAGTTATGTTACATCCTTAATGATGTACTGTTCGACATTACTATAGTCAGTTGATGTTCCATAACAGGCCTGTTGTTGGGTTGATATTGACGCACCTTCTTTCCAGAAGCTGACCTGCTCATCAACAGAGCTAACCTCATCAACAGTTGCATTTGAAGAAGAAGCTGTATCATCAGCTGATGATGGTACTGGTTGTAGTTTAGCTTTACAGAAATCAGAGCAATTGTCATGTTTGCCAAACACATGATGAACTGAATTATTAATGTCGTGACTCAATCTTTTAATCGCATTGGGACGATCTAATTTCTGTTCATTGTAGTCTTAAGATACTACACAGATGGCACATCTAAGTGCACTTACGAGTCTAACTCATGTAGATTTTGACAAATGGTGTTTGCCTTTGTACAGTTGATTGTCTACGACAAGCTTTTCTAGGTTTGATCTATAACACTTACAGACATGGTTAGCACATTCTTGTTTAGCAACATCTCTTCCCGAACAGGGTACTTCTTCCTTGATTCTTGAAAAAACGGAAGAATCACCATCACCAACAACACGCATGTACCTTATCCCGTGTTTGCTTTCACATTCAAGGAACCCTTGTAAAATGATGTCACTTTCCATTGACTGGCTGTCATGGTCCCGATTCTTAAAACAAGTATGTTCCTTATCACTATTCTGGCTGCACAAGTAGCAGTACTTATTCCGCACACCAATATGCAGCAGCTTTTTGGTCTCTTTTCCGATTACGATTGCCACACCACCTGCTGCATTATACGAATGTTTATGAGTCCTTTTGGACCAACCACCATCTGCTATTACAGTTATTGCAGGGACTTCTTGATGAAAGTCATTGCGCTCAATTGCCAAATTTCTTTCCTCTTCACCCGCTAGCAACATGTCCATCTCTAAAACCGAATGCCACCACATTCCAATATCAGTTTCTATGAAACTAAATGTGGACTGAGATAAACCGGGGGAGTTCATAGTTGCCAAGAACTCATTCAAGTGAGAAGGACCATTTCCAGTTACCATGCTGCCCCAAACAGCACGAACATTAACATCATAGCGTTTGGATCCTGGGACTTTTGTGCAAGTTTCTAATTTACACTGCTGAAGACATCCTTGGCACTGTGTCAACATTACACTGGCCAGACCCAATGAACGGACTTCGGTTTCCAGCTTAATTGGGGGTTTACCTTCACTGGCAATTTTCATTGCACCAACACATAGACGAGCATGCATGGACATCACGGTAACATGAGATTGCAGACAATCTAAATTCATAAATTTATAACCTTTGGGGCTGAGATCTTTCACCTTTTTTATTATTAGTTTTAAATCATCATTAGTAGAAAATGCCGCATTAACTGAGGACATGGGTGTCTTTTTATACCATGGCTTAGTAAACAGCCTGTGTGATTTGCTAATGTTCAGTTTCAAATTCCCATTTCTCAGGTTTTTACACTTAATTTTGTAAGTTGGCCTAAATGTTTCTTTCTCTGTATTACTCTGTGTTTTCCCAAACCTCTACCAAATACACGACTTGTTTTCCGTTTGCTTCCCATTCTTACTTTGATATGTCCAAACTCCAGTTACATAATGGTTTCCATATATTGATGTTTACGTGAAATGTTATTTAAAACTTTAAAATAACTTACCTGTCAACCAATGGCATTCTAACCTATACTTGTATGCTATAATTTTTGTTGTATCAATTTATAATTAATATTTAATTAATAATTACTTACCGGATATAGTACGTGTTGTCTGTTTATATTTTGACAAACAGCATCGATCTTTAGTCGATCAGGACTTACAAAACCCTTTTGATCATTTAATATCTAAGACAATACTCAATAGTACAGCAATAACATTCACTAGACACTAAATCTTACCCATGAAAAGTCGCCGATGGTCCTAGAAACGTATTTCTTTTTCGATGTTTACCTCATCTTCATAGCCTGTCGCAGCTTTTCTCCAAACCGGAAGTGAAGTTCCTGAAATAGGTCATGTTTTCGCATCTCAGTAAAACATTTTAACGATACCAGTGGTCGTTACAAAATATATTTTTAATACATTTTAAGGTTTGGGCTTCAAAACTATAATATTTCATGGTATGTATGCAGAATTAGTAATTTCATGTCAATGCGAAAATGCGGAATAATATCTACTTCTACTCGATGGGTGGCTGGTATGTATCGATCATTCAACAGTGTAAATGTGAATGATGCGTTGTCAAATTGTGCGAAAGGTATTCTCAAATGGTTGAATTTTCCTACTATATAAAACAATGCACGATCTACTCCGGTCTAGTTGTTGCATATCTTATAAATGCTGTGATTCCAATGCCATTCAATATATTAAAAATGGCGGTCCCCATCAAGCGGATATGCAGTACAACTATTAGACCTCACATTGAAACTGTTAAACGGTGCTTAGTTTAAATGCTAGCTGGCACTGCATAGTGGCCAGGAAAGTAGAGTGACATAAATGTAGGTTTTGAAAAATCACTTGTATTTTCTCCACATTTTTTTGAAAATTTGTGTTCTCTCAACCATTTACCCCATATTTAAAACCGTTGTAGCCTATTTATTTTTGAATAATTCACACAAAGACTTGTTTCATTTTCAACTATAATCACATAATTAAATATAAGAAAAATCTTAACTGACAGCAATAAGAAATGGTAACAAAATTTGTCATTTTTTCATATGTACGCCAGCCTTGTAAATTTTGACCTAAGCGGAACCTTAAAATAAGGATAATGTGACCAACAACTGTGTCCTGACTTTAATTTCTTTTTGACATTTATCATTTTACTGTGATCTTCTTCAGCAGAGGCACAATGATCCTGTATTCTGACCTGTGATATTCTGTAGAAGATGCAGTATGGCATTACGAAAACAATATTCACCGGATTCACAGACCATAAAGTGAGTACAAGTTTGTATTTGAATCGTCATTATGATGATTTCTGCTTTAAGGTCAAAGGAGTGTATTGATAAACGGAAATAGGAAGTACATCCCTAGTTGAAAATCCAATGTAGGGAGACAGTATCACAATTTCCGCATATTCTAATGTTTTATATCAAACTGGTGAATAGTGTATGTTTATTATTGACAGAACAGTGTATTCTCTCAATATTAAAGTATTTCAAAGCAATCCAGGCATTAATTCAGTTTTTTTTATCAATGAGTCACATGTGTTCATTTTTCTGTTCTTCAGGAAACCGGCTACCTATTTCACTACTGTGAAGTTTTTCAAAAAAGATATCTCTTACATGTATATGGTTTTATTATTAAAAAGCTATTTTTTAATCGTTTATAGATACAAATGTAATTAATTTTACACAATTTCAGCATTTATTAAATTGATATACATTAATGCAATACTAATCTATGTCAGTATCATTTTTATTGATATTACTTTGCAAAACATTGTGTTTATTTTTGTTTTCAAATTTCACTTCTTTTTATATAAATTTCCATTTAAAATCCTTAAAATTCTGACAACCTATATATTTTTTGTGGCAGAACATTTTCATTACTTCAAAGCAATATAACTACAAAATTTGAAGAAATTCTACTGAGAAATGGTGACACAATCCTATTACCTTAATTAAGTGAATCATGATCCATCTACCTTTTCTGAGAATCGCTTGTCTCCCTTTGAACAATGTTTAGCACTTCAGCTAGCGAAATGACAAAACTGACTACAATAGCTTCTCATTTACTGTCTAGAGCAATCTAACACTCATATGTCGATTGAGTGCAAACTCATTATTCTGGAAAAAACTGATAAGGTTTATGAGCTAAAGACGGATTATTTGTGTTATATTAAGACAAACACAGCAGGAAAATCTAGTGTTTGAGTATCGTGACAGCAGCTAATTTAAGTCAATATCATACAACTTAAAACAAGAATAGCACATGTGGGAATGATTTCCAAATATCATAAAAAAAACTATGTGACGAAAATGTGTTCGACAGTTTTCCAGAGAAGGAGTCCTACGTAACAAGATGTCAAGGCAACAGACACGTGATAAGGTGTATTATAGGACACACTGATATATGGTACACTGTTTTCGTATCTCCTTGGGTTCATGCTAGGGATTTTATCCAAACTTCTCACTACCAGTCTTAGTACCATTAAATCAGGTTAACAGATATATTGTATACTCGAGAAGGGGATGAATAGAATGTTGATTTTGAAGAATCCCGTCCCGTCGCGTCGTGTCGCGTCGCGTCCCGTCCCGATTCAATGTAAACCCATGTCCCGTCGCGTCCCGTCCCGATTCAATGTAAACACATAGCAACTTCATTCTTTGACAGATTTTGGTCAAACTTTATACAAAGGTCAAATATGGGTATACCTCTGACATCCTTGTGTTTCAGTGTTCCTAGGTCAATGCCAAGGTCACTGTTGCTATATATAGAAAATCATCAACTGATTCAATTTAAACACTTAACAACTTCATTCAATATGTTATGGAGATGGTAATAACATACAGAAAAAACATAGCAATATCAAAATCAACTTATCAACTTGGAGTGTAATACCTTGTGTGTGTGCATGTTTCAGGGTATCAAGATCAAAGTGGTAACTTTTTATAGCACACTGAAACTAATTACACATGGCAGCGTGGTCATTTGTGTCTTACAGACATTTTCTAGTTCAACTTTGATTCATCAATGATGTTCCTTTAAAAAAAACAGCAATGAAACTACATTGTATCCCGTGGAACAGGTGAAACATTTGGTATCATTATCAATCGGATGTCTTTGTCTGTCCACCCCGTCTGTGTGTAACCAGTTATACCGAAGAGTTTCCCAACAGACCTAACGCTACATGTATTACAGTGTTGTCCACCCCGTCTGTGTGTAACCAGTCAGACTTAACGCTACATGTATTACAGTGTTGTCCACCCCGTCTGTGTGTAACCAGTCAGACTTAACGCTACATGTATTACAGTGTTGTCCACCCCGTCTGTGTGTAACCAGTCAGACTTAACGCTACATGTATTACAGTGTTGTCCACCCCGTCTGTGTGTAACCAGTCAGACTTAACGCTACATGTATTACAGTGTTGTCCACCCCGTCTGTGTGTAACCAGTCAGACTTAACGCTACATGTATTACAGTGTTGTCCACCCCGTCTGTGTGTAACCAGTCAGACTTAACGCTACATGTATTACAGTGTTGTCCACCCCGTCTGTGTGTAACCAGTCAGACTTAACGCTACATGTATTACAGTGTTGTCCACCCCGTCTGTGTGTAACCAGTCAGACTTAACGCTACATGTATTACAGTGTTGTCCACCCCGTCTGTGTGTAACCAGTCAGACTTAACGCTACATGTATTACAGTGTTGTCCACCCCGTCTGTGTGTAACCAGTCAGACTTAACGCTACATGTATTACAGTGTTGTCCACCCCGTCTGTGTGTAACCAGTCAGACTTAACGCTACATGTATTACAGTGTTGTCCACCCCGTCTGTGTGTAACCAGTCAGACTTAACGCTACATGTATTACAGTGTTGTCCACCCCGTCTGTGTGTAACCAGTCAGACTTAACGCTACATGTATTACAGTGTTGTCCACCCCGTCTGTGTGTAACCAGTCAGACTTAACGCTACATGTATTACAGTGTTGTCCACCCCGTCTGTGTGTAACCAGTCAGACTTAACGCTACATGTATTACAGTGTTGTCCACCCCGTCTGTGTGTAACCAGTCAGACTTAACGCTACATGTATTACAGTGTTGTCCACCCCGTCTGTGTGTAACCAGTCAGACTTAACGCTACATGTATTACAGTGTTGTCCACCCCGTCTGTGTGTAACCAGTCAGACTTAACGCTACATGTATTACAGTGTTGTCCACCCCGTCTGTGTGTAACCAGTCAGACTTAACGCTACATGTATTACAGTGTTGTCCACCCCGTCTGTGTGTAACCAGTCAGACTTAACGCTACATGTATTACAGTGTTGTCCACCCCGTCTGTGTGTAACCAGTCAGACTTAACGCTACATGTATTACAGTGTTGTCCACCCCGTCTGTGTGTAACCAGTCAGACTTAACGCTACATGTATTACAGTGTTGTCCACCCCGTCTGTGTGTAACCAGTCAGACTTAACGCTACATGTATTACAGTGTTGTCCACCCCGTCTGTGTGTAACCAGTCAGACTTAACGCTACATGTATTACAGTGTTGTCCACCCCGTCTGTGTGTAACCAGTCAGACTTAACGCTA